TGAAATTACTTATATTTGCATGTTATTAATAATGACATCACCGTTACATTAAAAAATTTTCATAAATAATATGGTTTATAGTAGTCGTTTCATTTTCAATCAAAACAACCATTATTATTCTCATAATTTTTAAAATGTCATTGACATTTTACTTTAATAATATTTTTGTAATTTTTTTATTTAAAACATTTTTTTTAATGTTTGCAAAATAAAAAATAAAAAAAATCCCAAAATACAAGAGACACGTGACCTCCCTGGTCTCTTACTCTCTCTGCCACTGAAGATGATGTTGCTTACGAAGTACTTTGGCTCATTTTAAAAAGTGGGTTGAAAGTTAATTCTCAACGTTTAACCCACTTCTCCATTCACATAAAAAAACCAAAAAATCAAAAAAATTAAAAAAAAAAATTTTAATCACCTTTTCAAAACACCATTTTGTGAGTTTCCTTCATAAACCAATGGAAAGAAGAGTTTGCCATCCGAATCATATGCCCAATTTCATTGTGGACTTGCTCTTTAATGTGAATGTGCCTTGCCATATTCCAAGAAAGGGCCTCTACATTTATTTTGGTTTGATTATAAAGCCACACTGATCTTTCAATATCTAGTAAATTTGACTTTTGCAAAATGTCATTCTCACAATAAATGCCTAGGAATCTTAATATTAGATGACAAAGGTAAAGGTAAGGAGAAATTGTAAATAAATGTAACAGTCACAAAATAATTACATTATGAATGAATATGTTTTTTGGTATAACTTTGACAAACAGAAGCGTTACATTAAACACATAAATAAACTTGCACCATGTGCTCTTTTGGGAAGCTAATAAAAAGTCAATTTTCAATTTTTTATTAATTTTGGATCATATCACCTCTCACATAACTTACTCACAAAAAGACAAAATAAGTTAAAAAAGCCAAAAAGTCAATCTTTTACCAACTTTTCCACAACACCAACATGTACACAAGGGAGTTACACCATTATGAATATGTAAGCCTTGTTTCGTTTGATTTTGGGAGAGTTGTTTTTGAAAAAAATTTCCAAAATTTTTGGTTTGTCGTTTTTCTCAAAAAAATTTCAAAATTACTTTTTCTCTCTTACACATCAATCAATCACTTTTTTTTCTCTCATCTCTCATTCTCAATCACTTTTTCTCTCACACACATTTACTCAATTATAACAAAATATCAAATCATCTTAAATTCCCAAAACTACTTTTCCCAAAACTACTTTTAAAATATACAACCAAACAAATCAAAAAAAAAATTTAAACTCTCTCCCTAAATTTTTTTTGAAAATCATTCTCTTAAAAACAAACCAAACACACCCACAATTTTTTTGCCACTATTCCACTAAAATATAATTTTTCCAAAAAATAAAGCCACTTATTGTACCATCCACAATGCCTCTTTTGATAAATAAATAGAAGTTTAAAAAACATAGAGAAAAAAAAAAACATAGAAAGGGTTTTAAGTAAAGTTACAATTTAGGAACAAGACAAGACAGTTAATTCAGCGGTCTATATAATTATCGCTTTAGAAGTTTAAGATTCAAGTCAAGCGACTATAACTTTTTTGTTGTAATAACTTACTAGCCCCCTAGCATACATAGTTAAAAATAAAAAATAAAAAATTAAAGGTTACAATTTGATTTGGATTAACTAACAACAATTAGGTTGCCGAGATCTGATCAATAACTCAATCCAAATTTATGGATGATTTGGACAACATCAATGATGTTGTTGGTTACTTTGTGACATGATTCCCATGCCCATAATAATCTTAAGCCCTAATCAACTGGTTCATGAAAGGTCCATCTATCCAACAACTTAAAGAGCAAAAGAAAAAGAGTGTTGTTATTTAGACCTAAAAATTTAATAATGTGTCACTCTATTAAAATATCTATATTAATTCTATCTCTCTCATTTATTTTCTAATCATTAATCAATTATCTTGTTGATACATCATTAAATTTAAAAAATATATCTAAAAAATAAACTTGTATATCATTTTCTTAAAAAAAAAAGAAGTTAGGCACACAAAATGGACACTGCATTTGATTCAGACAATACCATCTCTACTTATTCTAACACTATGTTTAGTTGGAGATTTGAAAATAGATTTAAACAGGAAAAGAAAAAAAAGTAAGTGAAATATGAATAAAATATATTTACATTTCACTTAATTTTGCACACATTTTTTTTTTTTTTTTCAAATTTCTTTTCAAATTTCCTCACCAAACAGAGCCTAACTGATCCATGAAAGCGTAATAGAAACCATGTGTACGGATTTGTACTATGTATACTTCCCTAATTCTAATTGATCCGCGTGATAGATTCAGCTTGTTTAGTTTCGTTTTTCTGAAAATAATTTTCTGAAAATTTTACTTTCTTATTTTTTTATATTTTTTGTATTTTTAATGAATTTTTTTAATATTTTAAAAAAAAAATTAATTTTTAAATATGTCTAACATAAATATACTTAAAAAGTAAAAAAATTGTGAAAAAAACCTTTTAAAAATTCGCTAAATATCAAAAATATATTAAAAAAAAAACAAGATTCAGTACATTTTTTGTATTTTTATGTATTTATTAATTTTTTAAAATATTTTTTTACAATTTTTTTACTTTTTAAATACATCTAAGTAAGGTACATTTAAAAAACTAAAAAAAATATTTAAAATTTTAAAAATATTCACTAAAAACAAAAAAATACGAAAAATAAAAAATTAAATTTTTAAAAAATTTAATCTAAAAAATTTAAACCAAACACAGTGTTTGTACTGTGTACTCTGTGTCTGTACTAACCCCGAAAGAGCTACAATCACAAAAAATGAATGATCATGTATTAAACAACGTGTTTTTTTTTGTAATATTCTAAAAAGAAAAAAAATAATTTAGAGAATTGATTCACTTCTCAAACTATTTAGAAAATTAAGTTACTTTTTAAAATTACATTTTGAAATTGAAGTTGAATTTTTAACATGTAATTTCAAAAAGTGAAATCTATATTATCATAAATTACATTTTCAACTTGCGATTTTAAGATGAAATTAAATGTTGAAAATACAATTTCAATTTAAAATTGTATTTTCAAAATGCGATTTTAAAAAATATGCTAGTTTTCCAAATAATTTGAAAAGTGAGTCAATTCTCTAAATTATTATTTTTTTAAAATATTTAAAAAAATTAAAAAAAACTCATTAAACAAAAATAAGAGGGAAATAACTACTAAGAATTTGAAATAAAAAAAAATAAATTTAACCCCAAAAAAAAAAAAAATACACAACACATTCACATAGGTGTGTAAACTTACACGTGTTCCTATTGTTGACACCATAAATAATAATATTATTATTATTGCAGTACATATGGCATTTTCTTGATTAATCAGGAGTTAAGAGAAGTTACAAAGTTAATAGTCTTGCATAGTGGGACATGAAAGACAAAGTAGATGAAGTTAAACTACATGTGCAAAATATAATGGACAAAGTGATTTGGTGGAAGACATGGAGAGATATGTGACATTGTGAGAATAAAGGTGAAAGAGTGGATAGTTTAGATGGTTATTTGGTAGTTATTGCTAGAAATTTTTTCCTATAAATAGCCATTGATAGCTACATTTACAAGCCCCAAAACCAGATCCAAAAGACAGTTTATTTACTTTACATTTTTCTTGCTGGTCCTTTATTTTTCTGTATTGCACTTCGAATTCCTAAGAATAGTTTTAAGATAGTCTGTTGCTATAATCTCCTTTGAAGCTGTAAAAGTGCGAAGGTACAACTGTAAACTCTTATTTGCTTAATAAAATTTGATTTCTAACACTGTTTTTTCCTCTTTCTTTTACTTTGATTAGTCTGATTAATTTTCTCCTAAAATCAAGTCACCAGTAAAAGTACTATTCATTGAGGCTAAAAAAAACTTCAAAGCAATCATCTAACTAATTAATTGGCATTTACTAATCTTTGTAAAGATTTATTAATCCTTATTAGTACGCTCAAATTACATTTCTAACCTTCGAAAATCAAAAAAATCGACACATTTTTTTCCTGTTTAATTGTGTATTTAAAACTGCTTGGCCAAAAAAAATATATATATAAACTAAGAGTGAGGACATCAATATTTCCAAGCGTTTTAGGACACATGTTGACTTTAATACTGTATTTGATTGAAAATTTTGAAAAGAGAAAAGGAAAAGTTAAGTAAAATGTGAATAAAATATACTTATATTTCATCTAATTTTACACATCTTTTCTTCTTTTCTTTTCAATTTTTTTTTTAAAATTTCCTAACCAAATAAAGCGTAAAATGCATGAGTGACTTCTAGCCACCGCCATTGATCAATTTCCACATATTTGAGCAGTCTAAAGCCAACAACCAGTCAGTTTGCACTAATACGCAATCACTTTCGATGGCCTCCAAATTACACGTATTCTTGTAGGCCAAAGGCCATTGTTGCTCTCCTTTTCACAACCTAGGGCTGCTATTGCCCAGGTCAACTAAATCAAAGGCATCTTACAAACACAATATGCTTTCAAAATCAATGTCGTATTAAGGATTTGGTAACAACTAATCCGGATTGATAAAACACAAAATAGTGAAAAATAAATAAACAATAATTGTAATCACATGCGCACACAAGAACACAAAATTTATGTACTTCAACTCAAAATTAGAGTTACATCCATGGTCGCTACGGGTTTACAATAATCAGAAAGTGAGAATACAAAAGATTGCCAACCCCTACATATACATATAACTAGGGCTACATGTCACATACGGAATTACCAAAATAGCCTAACTACAAATTCAGGCAAGGGGTCTTTGGCCTCCCTACAATGCCCACCAACTTACCGCAAAGTTGAATCCGTGGTCGAGAGATTAGTGTCAAATACTTATCAAAATCTAATATATATGAGTTCCTCATAATACTGATTAAAACCAAATCGAAAATGTCGAGCTAGAATGAAAATTAGATTTCTACGGCATAACAGGTGAAAATGAGAGCTGAGAGAAGCAAACTTGTTTCATTGCTAATTTTTAAGTCCTTATCATCCATTGGATTTACAACAACAACAACAAAATTAAATTAACAAATGTGCTAAGAAATCCTGTGAAGGACGGCTAATTTATACGACTTTAGCATGTAATAAGATGAGAGATGAGAAAAGAGAATTATGGAATAGCTTGTCCCACAAATAGAGCTACACAAGAGCCCTTGAGGGAGCAAGATTTCACAAGACCGCATTGTAGCTCCACGACACACAGTTAAACAGACGGGAAATATTTGTTGAGATTGAAGGGGAGGGAATAGAATTCCTCACTTCGTGTATCAGTCTTAAAAGAACGGAATTTGTCCCACCAATGCTTACCCCTATCTTTCCTTATTACAGGATCCTTGTGTAATGTGTTGTCCAGGAAATACGCCAACAAGCCCGCAACAAACGCCTCAGATGAGAAAGGAACATTAACCATATCATTAAACTGCCAATTAACAAATAAAAAACAAAAAGTTAAAACATTTTTTGTCAGTGGAGCTCTCGAACAACCATAACATGATTCAAGCAAAACATATAAAAATTCAACGTTGGTGGAGTTGCGTACCCATCTTGCTGTTGTGTGAACCGGGCCATATCCATTAATTGCAGTGTACTCGTTGAAGTACTGGGGTATAGACAAGCCCAAAAAGATAGAGAAGCCCAGTATGAATTTCGTTCGGAAGCTGTTGAGATTGCAGAACTGAAGGAAACTTAAACCTACTGAACCTGCACTCACATGGTGAAAGCAAAGATACATAGTTAACAAAAAATGATACTGGAGATGCATAATCTAAAAACAGATCAAAAAATCGGATTCCAAGAATGTCTGCTAGCTACTAAGAAGCATGGACACTACTAAGAAGGTGTGCGCGGGCCCATGTCATGTCTGTGTTCGACATTGACACCCATTGGACAATTCTCGACATTAGTCAGACACACGTCCTAAAGTGTCATTATTTTTTTAATTTTTTTAGACCCACACAAGCCTCAGACACTTGGAGAGACACACATGTCCACTGCTTAGACATATATGAAACATTATAAATCTAAAACAAAATTACTTAAATGATACAATGTTGAAAATATATATATAAATTTACACTTTTAATTCTTCCTCCTTTAAACTTTAAGAATTAAAGTTGTGCTACATTGTTCTTTATCTTTTAAAGAAATATATATATATGACATAAAAAATATATAAAATCATATATCCTGTGCGTGTCCCCCATGTGTCGTGAGTCGTGACCTACATTTTTAAATTGACATGTTGGCATGTCAGTGTCCATGTTTGTGCTTCTTAGGCTAGCTAACTAGTAAAATCATAGAAACTTACCCACATAAGCAAAGAAAAGGCAATATAAAGCAGCAACTATAGGTGCTGGAATTGAGGCAAAGACTGCTCCAAATTTTCCTGAAAATGTAGAAATTATTGATAATTAACCAAAAAAAGCTCTCTCTCTCTCTCTCCACAATAGACTAATGATGAAAATAACTTCTCTCTCTCTCTCTGTTTAACAAACATAAAATTCACAATAGACTAATGATGAAAATGACTTCATGTTTTAAAAATCTCATTTGCAAACAACTCACCAAGAATGGAAAAGAAAATCATGAACGCGGCAGATATTTGCACAACCCTTCTACTGCCAACACGAGTCAAAGCTAAAAGACCAGCATTCTCACTGCAGATAAATGAAGCAAACTTGTTGGTAAGTCAGTGTTTCAACTGATATAAATAGAATGCTAATGAGTTACAAAGGGTTTTCATTGTTAACGTCTTACATGGATACCGAGGATCCATTCACAGTTCCAAACAACCCAGAAAGTAAAATTCCAATTCCCTAGACAAAAAATGAGTAGTTAGTTCAAAGCAAACAGGTATTTAATCTTCACCTGACAGAAGGTTGAGAAATTTGCATTTTGTTGTTTTAGGCAGCAGAAACAGAGAAACTTGGCCAATATAGGAACCATCCTTGCAAAGGTTATATAATAGACAATTTCAAAACTTTCATTACGATCATCTTTTGCTTACCAATATTTCAACATTTTCAAATATATACAGATTATATGTCTGCTTGCTTGGTATAGTGCCCATTTTCTATGGTTCACCAACATTCAATTTGTCTTTCTTCTTTCTTTCCTGCTTTTCAAAATACTAATGCCAGGGTGGGGGAGGGGGAGAAAAGAAAGAAGATTGACAAATTGTGGCAAGAGACGTAAGATACTTGGTGCAAATATTATCAATAATGCGATTCTGAATCATTTTGCAAATAGTAGATCTTTCTATCTTTTGCATGAAAGAATACTTTTTCACTTTCAAACACTATCCCGCACCCAATCATTGAGGATGCAATTTTTACCTTATTACTACAGAAAGAATATTATTAATGGTGCAAATTTACTTTCAATAATGTCTTTCTTTTTCAACCAGGAATCTAAAACTTGTAATCTTAAGCACAATCATACTAACAACAAAGAACACAACATGTTCTGAATTTACCTGCCAACCGACGCCTCGGCTGAGAACAGAAGGCGGCAAGGGAGTTGCACTCGCATATCTTGAAACAGCAATAAAGCCTCCAGTGGACTGCTCAAATCATTGAAAGATATAAGAAATAAGCTATTTATGCGGGATTGATATATGAAATGAGACCCAAGAGCTGAAAATTTAGTCTGGAATAAAGAGACACGGACAATAATGATGATGCAAGAACAATCTAATGCCCATTAAGACATGTGCCTGTCTGGTCATAATGGATATCAACCTTTACGAAATGTTTTCGAGGTGTTGAATAGAAAATAGTTGAGTTTCCCAACCAACAACTCATCAACAAAGCATCAAGATGTGCAACAAAGGAATCGAGGAAGAAAAGTACTCCTAAACCCTAATGCTCTGTTTGGTTCATCGTAATATTCATTCTCATGATTGGTTCACTAAAAAATGATGGTAAATGTATTACAAATGGAATCATCATCCTTCACCATCATAGAGATTAGTCATTCCATAAGGAAGCTAAGCAATGAACCAATGAACCAAACACTACATATTCCATTCCATTATATTTGATTCCAATGAACCAAACACTACATAAGGACCTATATATGCTGTGGAGGATATTGATCTATAACTGAAGATGATGACAATAACAATCACTAACACAATAACAATGACAATGCACTTTGGTCATTCATTAAGTTGCATCAAGATGAGAAACAAACCTCTACAAGAGCAACAAATGAAGTAAACATCATGGCAAAGGCTTCACCAGCATCAAACGAAGGTGGTCCCCATTGAAAGGGATAGGGAATGCTTATCCTGGAAATGCAAACATCAGTACAAACATAAGGAATATTCTTGCAAGCCATACCATATTTTCATGTACTAATGCATTAAATGAAGCAAACAATGGACTCTCATTCATCACACCTCAACCAGAATTTTTATTTCAAGACATACGTAATATGGAAAACAAATAAAGAAAACAAGCATTTTGGTAAAAGAGAAGCTTCATTTAAACTTCACACAACAGAATTAGAATGCAGTGTATAGCCTTTTCCATTTGGATTATAATCGAGATAAACACTAAACCCTATTAGCTTATTCAGTTTGCTTGCATGTAAGCTTATAGAGCCATAAAAAAAAAAAATCTACATATACATATATATCTTCTTCATTGGTGATACTCACTTTCATGTATTCAATAACAAAACTGCATGATACAACAGCACCAGTTTCTTGTGGAAACCTCATTGAATGAACGGGAAAAGTTTGAGAACATCGTAACAATACCTCTAAATGTGGAATTTAATAATTGACAATGCTAAGATAACCAACTAGCAACAGGGAACATGTGCTTACCAAGGAGCACCATCAATAAGTCCAGAACGATCAGTACGGCAACTAATCTGTGTTTTTGGTGGTTTACCATTATAGGCCCCGCCTACAGTGAGTAGAAGAGCATAAATCCATACAATAGCCACTGAAAATATTACAGCAAAACGTTCAAAGATGTGTTGTCCTCTGCGCAACACATGGGACAGATACTGCAGATAACAAATGAGAGTGATGCTTTTAGCTTAAATTTTTCGGGATATTTTGAAAGCAAAGCAGAAAGAAAAACAAATGGTTATTATAAGTAATGGAATAAAATTTGTAACGCATCAAAAGACCTTACCTGTGAGAAAAAAACTAAAATGATAAGCTGTGGCAGCCCAATTTCGATGCATTTAGCGACCTAGACAACAAAGTCAACAGTTCATATCCAATAGGGATACAATGATAAACCAGATGGAACAACTACGCATGCATGCCCACAAGCAACAACCCCAACCCAAACCCTTCCACCCCGTAATATACACCCAGAGTAAGGGCCTGTTCGGTGCAGCTTCTTGCAAGCTAAAAGTTGATAATAGAAAGCAGAAACTAAAAGCATCTCTTCCCTTGGTTCTGAATAATCAGCCATTTTCAACTTATTAAGCTATTTCTGTCTCATAAGTTGTAAACAAAAGATACAACAAACAGTTTTGCACATAATTCCCCACCCCCCCAAAAACAAAGGCTATAAGCATATCCCAATAAGCTGCACCAAACAGGCCCTAAAACCCATGAATCCATGATCATCCAAGTGCAGTAAAAGTTTACCTACCCCAGGAAAACCAAACTCATAGAGTCCAAAGCCAGCAAGAGCAACCAAAGGAACAGCTGAGAGTGGACTCAAGAACCTGAAAAAACAGAGCATGGATTTGGGACATTTCAGTAGATGTAATATTAAAATTTCTCAGCTCCTGGTCAGAGCAAAGATTGGATTGCACAAGGAGAAACAAAAGGCTATGTGTAACTCAAGAAATAAATTGTGCTTCATATATCAGATTGACTTAGAGCAATTTAGCCAACACAAACCAACCCAAATAAGACTGACCAGAATGATATCATTAGAACTTGACTAAAAAAAAATCCAAGCTGACTATGTACTGTAATTACAAATTTGAGAGAGAGAGAGAGAGAGTCCAAGTTGACTAAGCATAGTCTAGAGTTTCATGCATTTTGTATATTATGAACCAACCTTGTGACATTTCTCCAAAGACCACTGAAACCTAGGACAATCTGAAGAGTTGAAGCAACAATGAGTGCACCCTGGATTGCCCGCATTGTCTTTTTAAATTTCTGAGAAGGCAATAAAAAATTTATCACAAGGTTAGAACCAAATATCAATAAGATTAATCTAGAGTTTGAACATGCAATTCCAAACTTCCTTTCTTTCCCTCTTTTTTTTAAAAAAAATCTCTGACCAAAAGAACATACGTAATGAAATGAAAATGTGTGCACTTAAACGTTGTGCACCAATGCTAATTTAATTATGTGCTTTTATGTTTAATAAGCATTACGAGTTAACACAAAATTCAATGTGCCATGCAAAAACCACGAAATATAACACAGCATGGATCTAGATCACAAACCGCTGTAGGATCTGACTCATTGTTGAATCGACCAGAGAGGATAATTGAAATTGTGGCCGCGACAAATGTATATGACCCTCCAATCACAGCAGGCAATCTAGTCCCGAAAGTTGTCTGCAGTATTGTGTTCAATCCAGCAACAAAGAGTAGTGTCTGGATCACCTTTGCTTTCTCCTCCTAGAAGAACAGCAAACGAGGTTCAAGATAGATTATTAAACATTAGTAATTGCAAAAAACGCATAATAAAAGAAACCAACATGAAATGAATATTTTCATAGTTAGGCCTTACATTCCCTCCCCCCATTTGAGGAACGAGAGCAGTGGGAATGATAACTGTTGTCCCGAGCATCACCAAATAATGTTGAAACCCGAGGAGGATAGCCTCAGCTGCATCAGAAACGCATCACAAATTTGATAATTTAGGTGAACCTCGTGATGATAGATAAAGGCATAACAAGAAACAAAATGGTCGTACCAAATTTACTAAAATCAGACTTGAAAAGAACAATATATGTAGATTGGCACAATCTTTTATCAAATTTAAGAAAGATTGTAGTCAATCCCAAATTGTTCGGATAAAGTTAAAATCACTGGGGTTTTAAGTTTTACTGTTGTGAATTGAGTCAATTGACAATGGAGATACCAAAAAAAATATTTAATGTATAACAAGGATTCCAATAAACATAGAAAAAGCTTCAAATTGGCAAGGATAAGCACATAGATTGAGTTGCAAGAAACATTAAACAAAACCCAAATTACCAATACATCACACTGAAAATAGGCCCAAATTGTTGGTAAAAAAAAACGCCACACCCAATTTAGCCATGATATTATTACTATAAGGGTTAATTCCCCATTTTTTCTATTTCATCCCTAACCTATCAATTTCATCTATTTAGTCCCAAAAGTTTCTGATTTCAGTTCATATGGTCCAATTGCAGATAATTGTGTACAAATTTTAGTAACTGTTGAAGCTTGATTTGACGGGGCAAAAAAGGCATTTCAAAATTTGAACAACTTAAACCATATAACCAAATACTTAATTTTCTTACTATTTTTGAACAAACGCCACACCCAATTTAGCCATGATATTATTACTATAAGGGTTAATTCCCCATTTTTTCTATTTCATCACTATCAATTTCATCTATTTAGTCCCAAAAGTTTCTGATTTCAGTTCATATGGTCCAATTGCAGATAATTGTGTACAAATTTTAGTAACTGTTGAAGCTTGATTTGACGGGTCAAAAATGGCATTTCAAAATTTGAACAACTTAAACCATATAACCAAATACTTAGGGTTAGTTTGGTTTGTATCTCTGAAAAATTTTTGGAAAATTTTCTCTACAAATAAGTTTTTAAAAGTAATCAAATCAAACAAATTTTCCCAAAAAATTTCTCAAAACTTGTAAACCAAACAAGTTTTCCAAACAAATCTCTCTCTCACACACACATCAAATCAATCACTTTTTCCAAAACTCTCTCTCAAAATAATTTTCCAAAACATCTTTTGAAAAAAACCAAACCAAACAACTTTTCGTACTTTTTATCTCTAAAACACATCTCTCAAACACAAACCAAGCATACCCTTAATTTTCTTACTATTTTTGAAGAAACTATACCCCACAAACGATTTGATGAGTGTTTCGCAGTAAGGTTAAATTGTTCAAATTTTGAAATGACATTTTTCACAATCAATTTAGACTTGACCCATTTGTACAATCGTCTTCAATTGCACTAAATTTATTGAAATTAAAATTTTAAGGACTAAATAGATAAAATTGATAAAATTAAAATAAATAATAAATAAAAAACTTTAAGAACAAAATAGATGATATTGATAGTTTAGGGATGAAATAATGACAGAGAAAAATAAATGTGGAATTAACCCCTAATATTTTTTGAACAAGAACAGATTATTTGGGTTAGTACAGGCATAAAAGATAAGGAAAAAGGACACCAACCAAGAAAAACAAAAGATTGAAAATGCAAATACATGGGAAAGCTTAACAAAAAAAGAATTACAGACCTTTAAGAAAAAGAATCAACTAGATTCAGAAAATTAGAACCCCATAGGTGGCTAGATTCAATGTTAACACATATATGTATAGATATGTACACACGTAGTTATATCTATAAGAATCAATCTAAGAATATGCCCAAAAAAATCAAAAATCAAAATACAGAATCTAAGTAAACAAACAGTGAATGTCAGATACTCACGCCATGGGGGAGGACTAGTAATGCAGTAGGAAACATTAGGAAGTTGATCCTTTGGTGGGTGTGGCGCTGGCTCATCTGCCTTTGCTGGAGCACCTCCTCCTGCCATAGCTTTCTCTCTCTACTCTCTCACTCTCACTAAAAAAAGTTACCCCAAAATGTACTGAATCTCAGAGCAGTCCCAAAACCCAAATCTGCAAACAACCCAGATCCTAAATCTCTCAGAAACCCACGAAAATGGGAAGAAATTTTGAAGAAAAAGCTCAAGGTTTTGAGTACCCAGAAAGCTCAATCAGTGAGAGATGAACCAAATAACACTGACAAGATTGGAACAAACAACCCACATGTCACCCACTATTATATGGAACTGTAAAAAAATAGAAAAGAAGAAAAAGGGAACCAGAAAATGAAACTGTAACAATCTTGCACAATTTACTATTATATATAATTGTAATTAGTGCATGAAAATGAAAAAGAAAAGCAAAGAAAACAACCTTGTAGTAAACTTTGAGAAGCAAAATCAAGTGGGGGGAGTGCAATAAAGTCTAAATCAAAGATCCCACTTTTATAAAAGTTCAATAAAAAGGGTAGTCGGGAAAAGGGAAAAGGAAACTTTGGATGTGATACAGCCCAAAAATCAAAAGTGAACAAAAAAAGGTCCGTAAAAAAAAAATAAAAAAATAAAGTGAGCTAAGTGAAGGCTTGGGGTTTAAGTCTCAATGGTTCAATTCTCTTTTTTTTTTGGGTTAATTTTTTGGGTGACACATAGTTAGTTAGGAAGTTCGACTTTAAGTTGTCTAATCAGTACTTGGTGTGGGTTCAATAGTCCCCCGCTATGCGCTCAAGTTGTCTAATCAATAGTTGATGTGGGTTCAATAGTCTCCCGCTATGCGAGTCCTGACCAAGTTTCTAGGTTATAGTCTCCTCGCTCGGAATGACTAACAGGACACCCTGGGACGCTACCTTGGACCTGCAGGAAGGTAGAAAAGATTTTCCTGTAACAAAAAATAAAAATAAAAAATAATGATGGATGTGTAAACACCTCTCTCTCTCTCTCTCCCCTTTCTCTGTCTAAGAAAAAATTTGATGAAGAATCTCCAACAAACTTTATTTTTTATTTTGAGTTTTTATTTTTTTATATAAAAATTTGATTTTATTGTTTTATTATTTGTCTGTTTGTTGCATCAATTACGCTCCGCGCCGTTTATACACGGTCCCACACAAAAAAAACTACATAATGATAATGATATTGACAAGGCCAACTTTACTAGATGCAAGGTTGTGTTTAAGTGTTGTTATTTTAATTGATCTGAGTGTGCCTTCTTGGTCCGAGGTAAAATCTGCCTTGGCAAAATCAGTTCCTAGTTCCTTAAAACTACACCGTTTATAGCGAGTCTTGGGGAAGGGGTCAAACGCTCAATTTGGTTTTTTTTTCTATTTATAGAAATAATAGAAATTATATTAGTAAAAATAAACTCTATAACAATAATTTTAAATTTTAAAAAAGTTATCACCTCTTTAAAAAAATGATAGATTTTAAGAAAAAAATTAGTTAAATTAATTTTTAAGATTTTAGAAATAATAAAAAAAAAAACAAAATCCAAAAAGGAAACCTAACAAAGCAAAAGGTTTTCCTAAGGAATGAGTCTTAGACTTCATTTGAAAATTAATTTTTTAAATATTTTTTAACTTTTTATAAGAAGACGTGTAAAAAATAAAAAGAAAGAATTAATTTTTTGTATTAACTTTTTTTTCCAGAGTACAATTTGTATTGGAGGGCACTCTTGTGACACGAGTAGTTTATTTTGTATATTATTAGTCATAAAATATAATAAATTATGACATTTTTGTAGATTTTTTTATATGTAATTATTATAAATATAGTAAAATTATGTGGTTAGATGTATCTTATCAAATTTATATCTTTTTTAATAATCTACATATGAGATTAGATATCTTTTTTAATAATCTATTTATGAGATTAGATAAGATGAATCATCCAAATTATCAAAATAAAATTAATTCAAAATTATGTAAATAGTAGAATTTTTACACACGTTATTGTTGAAATGACACTATTGCCCCCTTTAACGCGTGTGTGTGTGTGTGTGAGAGAGAGAAAAAAAAAAAAAAAAAAAAAAAAGAAAAGAAAAGAAAAGTGTGAGAGCAAAGCGAAGGCTTGGGGTTTAAGCCCTAAACTCATAGGTTCGATTCCCCTCTTTTCTGGGTCAATTTTTTAGGCGAAATATAGTTGGTTAGGAAGTTAGATCTCAAGTTGTCTAATAAGCACTTGGTGTGAGTTCAATAATCCCCGCTATGCGAGTCCTGACCAAGTTTCCAGGTTATAGTCTCCTCGCTCGGAATGACTAACAGAACATCTCTGCAAGGGACGCTGCCTTGGACCTACCGGAGGATAGGGAAAATTTTCCTGTAACAAAAAAAAAAAAAATAATAATGATGGATGTATAAACACCTCTCTCTCTCTCTCCCCTCTTTCTCTGTCTAAGAAAAAAATTCATGAAGAATCTCCAACAAACTTTTTTTTTTTTTATTTTGAGTTTTTATTTTTTTATATAAAGATTTGCTTTTATTGTTTTATTATTTGTCTGTTTGTTGCATCAATTACGCTCCGCGCCGTTTATACACGGTCCCACAAAAAAAAAAACTATATAATGATAATGATATTGACAAGGCCAACTTTACTAGATACAAGGTTGTGTTTAAGGCCTCGTTTGAAAATTTTTCCTTTTAATTAAAAAGTCAAAAAATTATTAAATTAGACAAAAAATTAATAATTCATGTCAAAAAGTCAAAAATTCTCTTTTCTCTCTATTTTTTGTACATCTTTTTATAAAAAGTCAAAAAGTCATCCTAAACATACTAATTTTTTTTAACTCATATTTTAGACAAATAACTAAAAAATTACTAAATTAATCTGTTCCCAAACGAGGCCTAAGTGTTGTTATTTTAATTGATCTGAGTGTGCCTTCTTAGTCCAAGGTAAAATCTGCCTTGGCAAAATCAGTTCCTAGTTCCTTAAAACTACACCGTTTATAACGACTCTTGGAGAAGGGGTCAAACGCTCAATTTGGTTTTTTTTTTCTATTTATAGAAATAATAGAAATTATATTAGTAAAAATAAACTCTATAACAATAATTTTAAATTTTAAAAAAATTATCACCTCTTTAAAAAAATGATAGATTTTAAGAAAAAAATTAGTTAAATTAATTTTTAAGATTTTAGAAATAATAAAAAAAAAAACAAAATCCAAAAAGGAAACCTAACAAAGCAAAAGGTTTTCCTAAGGAATGAGTCTTAGACTTCATTTGAAAATTAATTTTTTAAATATTTTTTAATTTTTTATAAGAAGACGTGTAAAAAATAAAAAGAAAGAATTAATTTTTTGTATTAACTTTTTTTTCCAGAGTCTACAATTTGAATTGGAGGGCACTCTTGTGACATGAGTAGTTTATTTTATATATTATTAGTCATAAAATATAATAAATTATGACATTTTTGTAGATTTTTTTATATGTAATTTTTATAAATATAGTAAAATTATGTGGTTAGGTGTATCTTATCAAATTTATATCTTTTTTAATAATCTATATATGAGATTAGATATCTTTTTTAATAATCTATTTATGAGATTAGATAAGATGAATCATCTAAATTATCAAAATAAAATTAATTCAAAATTATGTAAATAGTAGAATTTTTACACATGTTATTGTTGAAATGACACTATTGCCCCTTTAACGTGTGTGTGTGTGTGTGAGAGAGAGAGAGAGAGAGAGAGAGAGAGAGAGGAAGACTCCAAGCTCGAGAGAGAGAGAGAGAGAGAGAGAGAGAGAGGGGAAGACTCCAAGCTCAACAAACTTATCAATTATTTAGAGAAATTGGGTAAAACTTTGACAATATGCGATGTTGGGATGCCAAAAGCTAGAAAACAAAGGAGGAAAAAGAAAGAACACCGACACATCTTTTTATTATCCTTTTGAATTTTAATATACAACTGGCAACCTCCAAATTTTTTATGGCTCACTCAACCCACAGTTTCTAGGTTTTGTTTTTTTTTTTTCCTAGGGTTTTTATATGTATCAAGAAAATAAATAGGGTTTTGAATTTTTTTTTATTTATTGTAATCTCACTAACAAGTACTCACAATTTTTTAAAAAATAATAAAAAAAATATTTTTAACAATTTAAAAATACTTTTTAATTCTAAAAAAAATTCTGATCATTTATCTATTATTTAAATATTTTTCACTATAATCTTCAACATTAATCAATACCTCTAGAAAACTACGAGTTAGCATTTAATAATGCGACACTGAATATTTTTGTATATTATAATTGGTTTATTATGTGATGTGTTATCACTTTTATTGATAATAGACATCGATGATAATTCGATTTTTATGATCTCGATCCGATCCAGTCTGATCCAATAACTTATAAGAGAAATTGAGATAGGTCTTTGGGGCACTAATGTAGTGTCGGCCAAAAACCCTCCGATGTTTAATTAGTGTTGTAGATCTACAAAGAATAGAGATGGAGAATTTAGGATTTTTTTGTACATATTTTGACTTTTTATAAAGGGTCTTTGTCTTGATTCATTGATGGTAGTGGGCCTTAATTTCGTTAGGCTATGGGTTTTATTGGTTGATTTACCCAACTCGAATCTTAACTAATATGTATATACATAAATGATGAGATCTATTAAACCAATATAATTATAACAAATAAAATATAATACATAAATATAATCATTATAACATTATTAGTTAGTATTATTCTCTAACAAATTCATCTGGTTAGCTCCTTCGTAACGAAGGCAATGTCATTTTCTTTTTCTTTTTTTGGGAACTTCAATAGTAGGTGTGGGCGCATGTATCATAACATGCTTAGTGAAAATTGTTTTAAGTATTCAGGTGTCTTCAACATTTCTTTTTTTGGAGGAAAGTGTCTTTAACATGGGATTAGTAGAATTGCTAGGTTATTAACCTTTGTGACACTTGGCATGTAACAGTGTTAGGTCTAGTTTGGGAACAGGTTATTTTAGTAATTTTTTGATTTTTTGACTAAAATATGAATAAAAAAAATAATATGTTTGAGGTGATTTTTTGGCTTTTTATAAAAAGATGTGCAAAAAATTAGAGAAAAAAAGAAAATCTTTAACTTTTTGATATAGATTATAGGTTTTTTTTGAATTTTTTAATAACTTTTTAACTTTTTGACTAAAATGTTAACTTGTCAAACGAGGCTTAGGCCCAACTTAATTAAACATAGTGGTGTTTTGAAAACTTCCTTAAAAAAAAAAAACTAATTTTTTAATTTTTTTACACAAAAGAGTCAATTTTTTTACACAAAAAAAAAATAAAAATAAAAATCACGACCAATCAAAAAAAATTAAAAAATTAACTCTTAACCAATTTTCCAGGACGCCTCATTTAAACTCCAATTACAAAAATAATTCAGTAA